GGAAATCAGCCCTGAGTGCTCACTGGAAGGACAGATCCTGAAGCTGAGGCTCCAATACTTTGGCCACCTCATGAGAAGAGAAGACTCCCTGGAAAAGACCCTGACGTTGGGAAAGAGTGAGAGCACAAGGAGAAGGGGACGACAGAGGACGAGATGGTTGGATAGTGTTCTCGAAGCTACCAGCATGAGTCTGACCAAACTGTGGGAGGCAGTGGAAGACAGGAGTGCCTGGTGTGCTCTGGTCCATGGGGTCACAAAGAGTCGGCCACGACTAAACAACACCTACACTTTCTTCAGCTTCTCCCCACCCCTTATTCAACCTTCCTCTTCCTCCTCCTCCTCCCCTATTTCTCAGTACCTTTTCCTGGTCTGAAGCCTAGGCCTGAAACTTTTGATTCCAGGCGAACTGAGTGTTTCCCCTTCCTTCACAAAAGCTAGACTGAAAACTGCAGCAGCAACTCATCATACTATGCCATGCCAGCCTGTGCCAGAGGTTTCACTACCCCCCCCAGCATATTGTAGATGTGGGGAAGGGGATCCAAGAGCCAAATGTCTCTTCCAGGTTTCTGTAGCTGACCCTCAGGACTCTTCCCAAATCACCTCTCCCCAATCTATGTCCCACTTTGCCTCACCCCCTTGAGTGTTTTTGCCTGGCTGAAAGCAGAGACATCACCTTGCCAGCAAAGGTGCGTATAGTTAAAGCTATGGTTTTCCCAGTAGTGATGTATGGAAGTGAGAGCTGGACCATAAAGAAGGCTGATCGCCGAAGAATTGATGCTTTTGAATTATGGTGCTGGAGGAGACTCTTGAGAGTCCCATGGACTGCAAGAACATCAAATGTATCCATTCTGAAGGAAATCAGCCCTGAGTGCTCACTGGAAGGACAGATCCTGAAGCTGAGGCTCCAATACTTTGGCCACCTCATGAGAGAGAAGACTCCCTGGAAAAGACCCTGACGTTGGGAAAGAGTGAGAGCACAAGGAGAAGGGGACGACAGAGGACGAGATGGTTGGATAGTGTTCTCGAAGCTACCAGCATGAGTCTGACCAAACTGTGGGAGGCAGTGGAAGACAGGAGTGCCTGGTGTGCTCTGGTCCATGGGGTCACAAAGAGTCGGCCACGACTAAACAACACCTACACTTTCTTCAGCTTCTCCCCACCCCTTATTCAACCTTCCTCTTCCTCCTCCTCCTCCCCTATTTCTCAGTACCTTTTCCTGGTCTGAAGCCTAGGCCTGAAACTTTTGATTCCAGGCGAACTGAGTGTTTCCCCTTCCTTCACAAAAGCTAGACTGAAAACTGCAGCAGCAACTCATCATACTATGCCATGCCAGCCTGTGCCAGAGGTTTCACTACCCCCCCCCCAGCATATTGTAGATGTGGGGAAGGGGATCCAAGAGCCAAATGTCTCTTCCAGGTTTCTGTAGCTGACCCTCAGGACTCTTCCCAAATCACCTCTCCCCAATCTATGTCCCACTTTGCCTCACCCCCTTGAGTGTTTTTGCCTGGCTGAAAGGTGCCCTTGGACTCTGATCGTGGCTACTGCTTGCTGGAAAAGGGAGGTGTAGAAGTATGTACAAACTACTTACTGTACAAAGGTATTTTTAAAAAAATATATATGGTTGCTCTGCCTGCCTTTGTGCTGTCCAGCACTGTCCAGCTGCTCAGGGGTCCTCTGGCTGGAAGTTGTAGGCTGACACTGACACACACCCCTGACTTTGCTTGCAGTGGTTTCATCAAGCGGTATGCACCTGTAGCTAGAGATCTTTCCGCGCTCCCTTTCATAGTGGGAGATTCCCTGATGCAAGCATCCATACTACTGCTAATACATAATTCATATTCCTGTTTCAAGGGACCAACGCAGGCTTGAAGCAGAAGCAGCAGCCGCCAGTTTTGCATTTTTATTTTTAGAACGCCTTTGTTGTCATGTCATTCATGCTGGAGTCTAGCGTCTTAATGATGTATCCCAGCGCAGAGCAAGGCTTTGCATTGAGTAGGCGAACAGAACTGCCTTGCAAGATTCACCCGTCTTTAATGAAAAGGGGGGAAAGGATACCAAGCTAGAAACGGGTGTAGCCCCATGGCTTGCAATGAGATTAAAAACAAGCCCATTCAATAGATTCTTGGATTCTGCACAAGCTTTTTGTTTTTTTAATAGCCCTCCATATAGATTTGACCTTCCCCTTCTCTACAGCGTTGGCTTATCCAGCTCCATCATCCTGTTCCATCTGTGCAGCTCTCATGTTCTCTTCTTCCCTTTTGGCCTGAAACAAAGATGGCTTACCCTTGAAAAACCACAAAACCAGTCCTATTTTGAGAATTGCATTCAGTTCTTCCATTGGACCATGTGTGGGGAACCTCTGCTTTTGAGTGCTGAAAGAGACCCTTCAGGCCTCTAGACATGTCCCACAGAACTTTTCCGAAACCAGCACCATTCCAGCATGTTTTTACCTACCTTGCTTGTCTGCCTGGAGAATGAAGTATGTGTATGCAGCAGTCGGCCTTCCATACAAAAGTAACTTTTGCATTTAGTATTCCAATTGTTTTGGCCTCTGGCCCTGCCTACCACAGGTCATACAGACCTTGGAAAGTTGCCCAGAATGGAATGTGGCTCTTTGGCTGATTTCCCATCTTTGCAGTACATCAAAGGCTTTGGGTTTCCACCTCCCATTTTTATTTATTAGTGATATCCTCTTACTTTAGGAGTGTGCTGGCACTGACAGCAATAGTTGGAACCGAAGCTTCATTTCTAATCTGTGAACATCTAAAACAGAAGATCCATAAATATTCTTATGGCTACAAAATAAAAAGATGTGGCATCTTGAAAACTAGATTTGGGAGGACTGTGTTCTTGCAGCTTCCCCATATGGTTTTGGGTTCAGCCTCTCACTTCCATATTTGTAAAAAGGGAAATGATACTAAATCCCCATGTTCTGTGCATTACAATCAAACTGCTTACATCAACACAGCCAAAATATGGCAAGCTGTGTCTGAAAGGGCAAGATTTTTTTCTTTTTTGAAGAGATTTAACACTGCCAAAAGCCCAAATCTCTGGTTTCTACACCACTTGGCATTTTCCAATATACATATTAAAATGCATGGCGTTTCAGGATGAAACCAGAGACTGCAAAGCACTTTTATGTTAGGAATTGAATGGTAAGAATGTGCCGCTTTTGATACTTATCACTCTTTAAGTTGGAAAAGAAAACAAACCTGCCAGGGCTGAAAGATATGAGCTTCTGCCGCTGCTCCCTTAGTGGTATCGCTTAATCAAATGCTGGTTTGAGGCTTCTTCCATCCCCAAAGTTTAAAAACCAAAGCGATCAGGATGTCAAATTTCTTATCCATGTTCACGCAGCTGATGCATCCTGCTATAATCAAACAAGTGCTCTCATTCTGGCCTTATCGGATTTGCTCTGCGGTCTCTCAAGTAAAAATGGAATTCATTTTGATTGCATAAAATGGATATGTAATATATGCCCTTTAGCTGTGAACGGTCAACACCAGCTCCCTCCTGTGTGGACAAGATTTACTGCCGAACTGAAAGTTGCTTGTCGATGTGAACTCAATGAAGATGATTATGAAACTTTCCCACAAGCCAAATAAGTCCCACTGCCTTCCCCAGAGTCATTCACACACACCCTAACAATTCAGCACTTACCAGCAGAGCAAACCGGTGGGTTGTGTTTTTTTGTGTTTTAACCCCTTCAGAGAATAGGGAAAGAGTGGGAACTGGAGCTTACTAGTGGGCTGCATTGTAAATGTTACAGCGGCAACTATCCTTGGGCCTGATCCAGAACTGCCATTGAAAACAGTTGAGACGTGATGTTAGCTCTAACACCCCGCCTCCCCATGCCGTGCAAGTGTTTTCAGACGGATGGCCTCCTGGGGAAGAGATCAATTTCTCCAATTGTTTAAAAAGGGAGTGATACACAAACAAGGCACAACCAGAGCAGACCTGGGGACACCAAAACTTAACAGCTCACCCACTGCACAATTTCAGTGATTGCCCAGGCGCGTATATGAAGTCAGGTCTGGTTTGTATTCTGAAGCCTTGGTTTTCTGCTTGTCACTTACGATCCACTGGTGAGGGCTGAATTTACTGTTTAATTTGCAGCCATCAAGAATGGAAATGTTAACTAACCTACCCATACTAAGCGAAACACAGTACAGTGGTGCCCCGCAAGACGAATGCCTCGCAAGACGGAAAACCCGCTAGACGAAAGGGTTTCCGTTTTTGAGTTGCTTCGCAGGACGAATTTCCCTATGGGCTTGCTTCGCAAGACGAAAATGTCTTGCGAGTCTAGAGATTTTTTTTTCGCTTTCCCCCCCTTTATCTAATCTGCTAAGCCTTTAATAGCCTTTAATAGCCTTTTAGCAGCTAATCCCCTAAGCCTTTAAGCCTTTAATAGCCGCTAAACCGCTAATAGCGCTAATCCGTTAAGCCGCTAATAGGGTTGCTTCGCAAGACGAAAAAACCGCTAGACGAAGACTCTCGCGGAACGGATTAATTTCGTCTTGCGAGGCACCACTGTAGTACCTTGGAAGTCGAACGGAATCCATTCCCGAAGTCCGTTCTACTTCCAAAACATTCAAAAACCAAAGCGCGGTTTCCAATTGGCTACAGGAAGCTCTTGCAGCCAATCGGAAGCCACGGAAGTCCTGTCAGACTTTCGGCTTTCAAAAATAGTTCACAAACCGGAACAGTTACTTCCGGGTTTGCAGCGTTTGGGAGCCAAAACGTTCGAGAACTAAGGTACATTTGAAAACCAAGGTACGAGTGCACCCAGCAATGCATTCCCGTTTATGGAAGAATAGATCTGATGTATCCAGTGTGTAAAAAGGCGCCATCCGGCACATAGCCACCCGAGTTTTCACAGGAGAGGTGTATCCACTGACACTCCAATAATGTTCTGGTTCTTGACCCCAAATTCAACCCCTCCTTCCGCAAACACCATCTGCCCTTAAAGACAAAAAACCCACCAACACAAATGCTTGCTTGATGGTTAAAAAAATTCTGGGTTTTTATTGGTTTTGCTAGACAATACTAAAAAAAAAAATCCCTCCATTCTGAAAGGCAGGGCTTGAATTATTTAAATTTTGATCCATTTGTTTAAAAAAACAAAACAAAAAAAGGGGAAAGGGGGAAAGAGATCATGGCAAAAAAAAAAAAAATCATTTGTAAGTTCACCTTTATGCCCATGTTCAAGAGTTATTTACTTTCGAGAACATATTTCTAAGGCAAGGGCGTTTATGAAGGACAGTGAGAGCAGCCAGACTGAGAGATGAAATGTAGACAAATCTAAAACTGGGATTTTTAAGGTTAAAGTCCATAGGAAAACTCCAGAATGCGATATAGCAATATGGTTTGAATGTGTACAATAGAATTTAACCCCTCTTGAAAAGCAGGCAGTATTCTGCAAATAGTTACTGCACTACTCACAGGGGTGAGGTGAATCGTTACCCCACCTGCCCCCCAAAGTAGCAGCACACCAGCATATTTGAATCCTCCACACAAAACCGCTTCTGCACCTGATCTCAATTAGAGTCAAAACTGAGGGGCGACAGCAGACAGCCATTTTCACAGTGGCACTTACAGCTTCCTATCGCTGCAAGGATTCAAATATCACATGGCAATGCCACAAGGGAAATTTATTCGGTAGGAGCACCCAACCTGCACCAGTCAAATCCAAAAGGATTCACTTAACTATGCTGCACGGTAGCATGGTAAAAGATCCCAGGCAGGCTGACTGTTTCCTAAACGGGTTAAGACCAGAGCGAGGAACCCGTGGCTCTCCAAGATTTATCGGACTCCCCAATTCCCATCATCACACCCAGCCAGCATGGCCAATAGCAAAGGATGATGGGAGCTGTAGTTCCAACAGCATCTGGAGGACTAGAAATTCCCCAGCCAGGATTTAAGAGGAAAGAGCCAGTTCAGTTAGACTGGGGCTGAGCGCTGCCATGTGTGGACTTGGCCCACACCCCTCAAGTGCCTCTCCAGCCCTTGGTTGGGCCACAAGGGTGCCAAACACGCACCATCACTCATAAGCTCTACCAAAGTAATTTTTACCTACGGAGCGCCAGGGATGGTTTTGGAACTGCCCACGAAAATGGCATTATCTGATCTCCCAATTGCCACACCCTTTGGGAAGACTAAAACAACCCCAACAGTTCTATTGTACAGTGTTGTTGGTCAGGGACAGTGCCGACCCGGTGGTATCACTAGAGGCCATGTATGGAAAGATAACACATACAAGCTCAGCTAGTGACGAGACCATGAGGAGGAAGCCTGCGACTCAAGTGCATGCCCTCCAAAGAGTATATAGCCTGCTGAAGCCCTCACTTCAGCATACATCTGATTTCCAGAGTTACACATACAAACACTGACAACGAAAGGCTTGATTGTTCAGCATGGAGATATGTGTGGGGTTGTTTGTTTGTTTTTCTGCCATGATCCCAGTTCAGAGTACTGCAAGAAGCAGAAAATATTTAAAGGACATTATATATATATATATATTTATTATATATATACTTCGAGATAAGAAAAATAAGGCTAATTCAAGCCTTGCCCTGTGCAAACAAAAACCAAACGAGAGATCGCCACTCACACAAAGGTCCCGATTACATTACCACAGTCAGCTTGTTATTTTCTGTTTTCTCTATTTTTGTTTTTTTAATAGGACAACTGGGGAGCTGAATTCTCCTATGGTTCAGGAGGAAGAGGGGCGGTATGGAATTGATTTCAGTTAAGCTATATATATAAAAAAAATGACCTGGGAGGGAGAAAAATCTCAAATACAAGACGGCTGACTGTTCTAGGGTTTGGGGGGAGGAACCGGGTGGGCAAAAAAGTAAAGAGTCTGTTAGTCAAGTAATGAATGAGTTTTTAAATTATTCTCTTGTTTTTTGAAGTCTAAAGTTCAGAAGCTGTGGGTCCCATCATTACAGGGCCGCCACAAAATAGAAGTGGACCCCCCCTGCCCTCCCCCGACCTCATTTTGAAGAAGTCTGTGTCATCTGCTGCTGCGTGTTGGAAGGGCTCCCCCCACCCCCACCCCCCGCAGGAGCAATCTGTAGCAACCAGGAAGGGCAGGTGGGACTCAGGACGAGAGGGCGCTTTCCTTCTGTGTTGGCTGGACTTGTGAACGCTGCATCACCTTTTGGCTTTCGACATCTCTAAAATGTTTCTCGACCTGGATGGAGAAGGAGGCAAGGGCATTAGTGCTGGCCAGACGCAGCAGGTCCCATATCAAGAAACCTAACGGTGGATGACCTTAGCTGAACCGCAGGCTACGGCGGGATTTACAAGGTAGCCTATAGCCAATGACAACTCTTCTTCCCGCGACTGCACAAACAGCAGAGACCAAGGCTTTGAAGTCCACCCAGGGCCAGAGCGTACGTGCCTCCCCACTCCACTGCCACACGGGCAAAAGTGCGTTCTGGGAATGCGCGCACACACATGCACACAAAGGTGCCAATATGATGTTTGTCACGGTCCGAAGTTAACTTGAATGGAACACACTGGAAATCCAACTTTTACCACAATGAAAATTCCATTCTGTTTTACGGACAGAATCAATAGTCCAGGTTTTAAACCACTCTCCATTTCACCAAAGAAACAGCACACAATTGGGACAAAAGGATATCTTTAGCCAAACAAAACCTAGCAGCGAACGCTGAAGGCAGGTGGGAGGCCTAGACAATTCAATGCAGAGTATGGCTGCTGGCACAACTTGAGTCAGTCTTTTGAGTCATACCTCTTTCCTCCTGCCCTCCCACAGTCCACAGGCATCGGTCTACTTACTATTTTGCGTACATGACTTAGGGCACTCCCCTCTTTGCCTTTACAGTTTTCCACTTGGTATGGAGGGGCAATGACAACTTCTTCCATCACGACTATATTCTTCTCTTGCCATTTACAATCTTTAATACTGCAGGAAGCAACAAAGGGTTCAATTTTTACCAAAAACAGTAACAACACAAAAAAACTTAAGTTACTGAAAAGCAAAACTACAAAGAGGGATGTAGGAGGTGGTTAAGAGCTGCCATGCAGCTACCCCAATGCCTTCCTCTTTAGCATTACTGCAATACCAGTACCATGATGACCACTGCACAGAAATGGGTGCTTGAACAGGTCATGGTTTACATTAATATAAGAACGCCGGAGAAGGCAGTGGGAGACCATGAGACTTTATAAACAGAGGGAATGGGGCCAGGACAAAAGACTAAAGAAATCAGGCTGTGGTAGACCACAAAAGGATCCTGCAAATGTGGATTTCGAAGAGCAGAGGACAACATCCCTAATCCACCAGTCCTAGTCCAATTAAAAGCACTTCATTTCCTATAGTCCAGGGGTCAGCAAACTTTTTCAGCAGGGGGCTGGGAGGGCCAACAACCCATTTTTGTCCCTGCTTAGTCAAAACATTACTCCGCCCCTGGCATCACGTCCCTAGGCTGGTTCCATCCTGAATTTCACACACTGAGTTCAGGCATATGGCATGGAGCCCCTATACACAAGCAGCTGTTTGTGCATAGCAGCTCCTCTGACATATGCACTCAATGCAAAGATGTCAGGCAGCATGGCTGGCCAAGGGATGAAGTGCCAGGGGCAACACACCAACACAGACCTGCTACACCATGCAAGTATCCTACACCCGGATAACACATAAATAGGGCTAGGAAATTACTTCTCTGGTGATCAGTCCAGAGTTTTGTTCAGCAGTTATTAGCACTCAATTTACCAAAGCTTCCTCCTGCCAGCAGGGGAGAGTTGTTTACTTGAAATTATCTATGTGAACTTATTTCAAGGACTGTCAGCAGAAAGAAACTGATTATCGCCAGACATATCATTCCACGACTAAGGAAAATTTAAAAAACGGGTTTCCAGACCAATCCACAACAAACTGAATAACTCAATTTGCAGCAAGCATTTAATATAATAAGCAAAGCTGAAAAAAGGCCCATATTTCCTTTCCAGGTTTATAGCCTCAATTAACTGATTTTTTAAAAAAAGCTCATATTCCAAGTCGGTGTTTCAAAATATGGCAGACTAGTCTAAGCAATCCTATTTCTCCCAATCAACTGAATTGCAATATTGTATTAGCTGATATACAACGTCTGCAGAGTTGCATTATTTTACTCAAATCTTTGCAGAGCTACAGTGATTAGACCATATTAAATTATTCTGGGGGGAAAGGAAGTGTTTAAGGTATTTTAACTATAAACTGTTTTATAAAGTTATAAAACCTTCACTGGTAATGCATTTCAGTAACTTTTCCGAACTTATCACACATGAGGTGGTGTCTAGAAACTGAGCACTATTTCTAGCATGGCCTCTGTTATGATTAAGATGCAATTCTAGAAGCCTGTCAGACAGGAAGGTGTATTTTGGAATCTATGATAAATAAGCATGGTACTTAGGAATATTGATAATGCTATTCATCAGGTTACAGCGGGTTCTTTTCAGCTGTACCTATTATATTTGGTTTGTTTACGGATGTATTTTACTGCTTAATGGAAAAGCATTCTTACTGAATCCACCAACTGTTTTACCATACTCAGTGATCTATCTTTCATTGAATTCCAATGAATTAGCGAGCCTTATTTATTAACATGTATTAAACTGCATTATTTACATGCACAGCAGATTCTAAACACAGCACCTGTATATGTAAATACATTAAAAAGTGCACGTGATTCAAGTTTTCATGAGTGTGTTATTACACTGTGTATCACTCTTATATGCTTTTTGCAATACAGGAAACCCACCCCTCTCCAAAAAAAACAAGAATGATTTCTGTTCACTGGGTTACATTTTGTAGCGGGGGTTTACACGTAAGTCATGCAGATCAAGATGTTAGACACAACACTTTTCATTAGCAAAGAACTATAAGCTTCATGAAGCGCTATTCAGATCATCCATGTATCAAGACAAATGCAACAGCTGGTCAAATTTCATATTATCATCTTCCCTAGAAGACTCTTTTCAGTGTTCAAAGTATCCTTATTGGTCTAGAGCAGTGTTTCTCAAACTTGGGTCCCCAGTTGTTTTTGGACTACAGTTCCCATCATCCCTGCCCACTGGCCCTGCTAGCTAGGAATGATGGAAGCTGTAGTCCAAAAACAGCTGGAGACCCAAATCTATTAGTCTTCTTGGGACCCCTGATGCAAGCCACGTGAGCCAGGACCATGTGTACGTTGCACTAAAAGGACAATCTACACTACAGTAATCAAAGTTATTTGCAATCTGAATAAATTATCTACCTAGCACATTCTGCTTTGACCGGCCACAGGCAAACAGGTTTTCAAAGAATTAAAAAAGTAAGGAAAACATGGAAAGAAACTTCCATTACCATCTGGTGGAACCACATAACTTGGCAAGGGGTGGATGCATTTGACAGCGATTTCTGCATTTAGTAATTGGATTCAGGTCTCTGCCCCTCCCCAGCTGCCTTCTAACTCCACATTTTTCCTTCCCATCCCTAATACTTACGTCTTGTGTATAGTCTGGAAAAGCTGCTGTCCTTCCAATGAGACCCCAGCACTAATTGCATATGCCTGGCTCAGCTTTTCTTCCTTCTCCATCCGTGCTTTGTTCGCAAGCTGGAAAGGAGATATCAGAAATGCAGAGATCTTAATCTTGGATCGCAAATGGCTGCAGACACTCTAAGCCTCAAATACAGTTCTATTTGAAGGAAAATAATTTTTGCATGACAGGGGATGCAACATATTCCATCTCATGAGCAGACACACCCCGGCCTCTCATGTACCCTGCCCTCAATGATGCAAAGCACACAGTAGCTCTATGACAGGCACCCCCAAACTCGGCCCTCCAGATGTTTGGGGACTACAACTCCCACCATCCCTAGCTAACAAGACCAGTGGTCAGGGATGGTGGGAATTGTAGTCCCAAACATCTGGAAGGCCAAGTTTGGGGGTGCCTGCTCTATGGAAATCACAACCTTTGGAAGTAATTAGATTTTTATTAAAGAAAGAAGAGGAATTAGGTAAACACAATCCATTACACTACACTGTAGTGCAATTTGTGGTAGAACTTGGGTTATGAACTAACCTGAAATACAGTCGTGCCTTGGTTTTTTAACAGCTTAGTTCCTGAACGTTTTGGCTCCCAAATGTCGTTAATTGTTATGATTTGTGGATTATTTTTGGAAGCCGAACATCCAACAAGGCTTCAGCAGCTTCTGGTTGGCTGTAGGAGCTTCCTGCAGCCAATCAGAAGCTGCGATTTGATTTTTGAACGTTTTGGAAGTCGAACAGATTTAATATCTTAATTACTTAATATCCCCAAGTATAGAGAATATACTTTCAGTTGGCATATTCTGTTTTTTGAACAACACATGCCAGTGATGAGGAATCCTCCATAATGTGGGCAGAGGTTTTCCTCCCAACAGATGCAAGAACCAGGATAGGCAAACACACTTAGCAAAATTATAACACTGTACAGACAAGTCTGAAAGGCAGTAAGCAGATATTATAGTGTGGGGGGAGAAAGTATTTCAGCATGATACAGCACCCATTTTCTTTGGTTTTATGTGATGCCCTAACTCACTCCTCTTTTTGGAAGGCCAAATGGCTTTGCTCTTAAGCCAATGTGCTATTTCTACTCTCATGATACTCACAGTCCATTGCCTTTTAAACTGTGTACTGTGAGAGTGAGCAAGGTGCATGTGTATGGGAGCCTTCTTTCAACCTTCCACATTCCAGCCCTAAATAAACCATGTGTAGAAGGGCAAGACTTGGGGAACCTCTAACCACTACACAAAACCTGAGTCTCTTCTCATGGCTCTTGCAATTCTTTTTTCAATTGCTTCCACACCAAGGTAACCAGAGCTGGGAGTTTGTAAGGGAGACTGAAGAGGCTCAATACTGGGTCACCTTGCAGGAGACAATCTTACAGGGGTGGAGAAGGGGCGCTAAGAAAGAAACAGTAACTACAATCTTGTAGATGTGAGGCTGCCCATGATGGGGATACAGGTAGATGAGAAACCTGTATCCTAACTAAAAGGCATCAGCTAAACCAGATAAAACTCTCCAATGTTTCCAAAGTTAAGTTCACCATTGTTTAAAGCAAGAGCTGTTTTATTTAATTTTCCTTTCACTGTAACCAATTACAGACACTCCCTTGACAATTCTGAACTCTCTTAAAAAATGTTTGAAATAGTATAAAAAGGGGCATATAGATGGGCTCATTGCACCAACCAAAGGACCGCAATATGGCTAACCATGCCATGCTGAAATTCACAAAGCAGACAGCTTGGTTAAATAAACAGAGAAATGTCATGCTGTTAAAGGTTTTAAACATGCTCCAGTACTCTAATTGGCTGGAAAACCAACCCCCAAAAAGGATTCTTACCTTGCTAACATTGAGAGAAGCTAAAGGTGGGGGGGTTTCTGTACGGTCATTAATTATTTTCACATCTGAAACGTACTGTAAGTTTATAAGCAAGATATCTGCGTGGTTAGGTTTGCCGCTTGACGAAGGGCATTCTGGAGGAAAAGATCGTTAAGGAAACAAATCCAAAAAATATATAATTCAACAGCTCAAAGAACAAATACCATTTGAAGGAAGAGTGTTTACACATGTAATGCCTAATTGCAAAGATCCACTTCCAAGGATGTTTGTAGTCCCTGCATGAGTTTCATGCATGAAGTTTATAGCCAGCTGCTCTACAGGTTGCAGTTGTTGTAAACTTTCTGTGCAACAATATAGGGAGCATGTTACAATAGGTAACATATTACTGTAACACGTTACCACAAAGCAACACTATCCTATCTACAGAACCTCCAGTGAAGGGTTGGCTCACTCCAAATTCATGACAAATTTACATCCCAGGGATGTGAACACAAAACTAAACATAGGAACAGGTAAAATATGAATGTTCAAAGTACTGGGCACTTTTTTTAGGCACCCAGAAGACTGCTGGTATTAGTTGCTTTTGCAGCTTGCTAGTCTCGCCATTCAAACTGCCCAGAGATATACTGGTGCAAATGGCTTTGGGATGTTTTTATTTGCACGGCTGCAGTCAAATAACCCAGAACACGCACGGCAGTGTTACTTATAAGGCAGACCCCTGCTGCATTCAGGGCACAGACCTTTCTAGTCCAGCATGCCATTTCCCACAGTGGCTCAACAGATGCCTACACAAAGCACACAAACAGGACAGGAAGGCAACAGTTCTCTCCCACCCTTATTCCCCAGAAACCAATACTGAAAATCATGTTGCCTCTGAATGATTCCACTTCACTGGATGACCCTGGGTGTAATATACAGCCATTAAGATTAGTAGCCACTAATGGGCTTACCCATCATGAAACTGTCCAACCTTGTTTTAAAGCTAAGCTGGAAGTTACCACATTTGGTGTTAGAGACTTCCTTAGTTAACTATGCACTGTGCAAAATAGTCCTTCCTTTGCTCCGTCCAAAGCCTCAACTTTCCATTGGATGACGGCAGGTTCTCTTATTACGGGGCAAGGTGAAAACCTTTTTCATACCCGCCTTTCCCAGACCACATAGAATTTTATAAACCCAACTTCTAGAAACACAGGACGTATGCCAAGCTCAAAGCATGGACACTTAACTGGGCTCTCAACAACAGACACATATGAGGCACCCTGCCCTGGCACATGCCATCCCTGGGAGGACCCATCAATTTGCAAAGTGATGGATTCTTGCAATTGGGAAGCAACAAAAGCTTAAGTACCTGAGCCCAATATGCTTTATAGCCTAGGAATCTACTTTAGGTACAATGGCCCAATGCCCATGCAGACAAAATTGAGAGTGTTACATATTGCCTCTCCCCATTTCTAGCTCAAATTTCCCTGCTTGCCTTAACCATGTGGTCAAGTAGTACATCTGCATTTATATTAACTACAGTCAACAACTGGTGACAATGAAACACATAACTACAGTTAAATCAGGGCTTGAGAGCGAGGGGAAGCATGCAATCACCCTTTCATGTCTGAATGGTCACAATGGACTTCTAATATGCAAGGAAAACATTCCCCACTTACACCCCCCTTACTGCCAGCATGGAGAAAGAAGCTACATGGATCTTAACATTTCCCAGGGATGCTATCCAAAACCAAAGATCTAAAAATCCCCCAATAAACATGTTCAGCAACACAATCCAGCATCAAAGCTTCCTCCCTGCCCCCAGGTACATCAAGTTCACCAAATCCTTATCTCGGTTCCAAAGACATTTTTTGGGGCGAACTACATTTTAGGCCTAATTTATTGTTGATGCCTGAATGTGCTCAACACAGACCCCTGGGGCTTTGTAAGGAACACATCAACCCTTCTTCAGCACTAACCTTATCTCAACTGGCATCACTGTGGGCAGTTAATACATACCCCAAGTCTAATAAGCATGTTTGTAGCATACACATTCATTACTTTAGGACAGCCATGTTAAGTATTTTAGATTAACCTTCACATGTGCAAGTCGTTGTCTATCATAGAAAAGGTTCATTTCATTTAAAACACCACGTTTTTCAGCGGGTTCAGGCCGCAAATTCAGGCTATACTACCCACCAAGTGTTGAGAAATCACCTGAAGCACATGCCTCCATGCGGCAGCCCTGAGTCAAGTTCAGAGGGGCTTTCCCCATCTTTCGTAATATGGGGATCTTCCAACACTTGGGTCACTAAAAATCCTGCCCTGGCCTCTTTTTCTACACACCAAAAAGCTGTTTTCTGACACATCCCACCACCCACCCCAGCTCCAATTCCCACTTCAGCCTTCCTCCTCTCAATAAGGCCGCCACCAGCTTTCATTTTCGCTCATGCCCAGGAGCACCCTTTTAAGTTTCCCTTTCCTAGATTTCACCTAGCAAGCCTCCCTAATCCTCCATTGGAAAAACAAACAAAACAGGATTATTCCCCACCTCCCTTTCGAGGTCCCTGTGGCTCACGAGAGGCAAGATATACCCTCCAGGCAGCAAAATATACCCATATCTCTTTAGATCTATCTAATATAACACACACACATATATTGAACATATACACACACACATATATAAACACACACACGCATACACTCCTTTTGCTAACAAGTACCCCCCCAAAAAAAATTCTATTTCTCTCCCCGCCCCCCCCCAAAACCACGCCGGCGGTTTCCCTCCGTCTCTTGGTTCGCTACACCGCCAACCCCCCCCCAGCCAAACCTCAACCTTCCCAAACACAACCCCCCCCCGACTCCCCCAGATCAGGCCGACCGAGGAAACCTCACGTGCCTCCTCCCTCCCCGCGAACATCCACCAGCCCCATTTCCCTTAGCGCCAGGCCAGGGCGCCGGCAACCAGCCCTCGCCATGCCCCCACCCGGCCCCCCCTTCCCACCACTTCCACGCAAGCAGCAGGATACTGAGCGCCAGCATCTTGCTGGTGTAGTCGAAGGCCACCACCTCGCCCTGCAGCCGCTGCTCCTGGCAAGTCTGGCACGACACCTGGCTGCCCACACTGAAGTACTCGCCCGGGGCCGCCATCTTGTTTCAGGCCCAGGCTGCGGTGGAGGCGGCGGCGGCGGCGGCACCCTTCGCGCCCCCGCTGCGCCTCAGCAGCCTCTGCCGAGGGGGTGGGAGCCGGAGGGAAAGGAGGGAGGCGGGCGCGGGGGGGGAAAGGGGGCGCCGAGACTCCACCCGGCGCGCCAAGCCGGGCCCAGGGCGCCTGCTCGCCTCCTTTCAGCCCGCCTGGCTGGGTCAGCCTAGGCGGAAAAAAAAAAAGGAGGCGGAGGAGGAGGAGGGAAGACGAGGAGTGGCCAAGGCGACGGAGGCCCCGCCTGTGCGTCGGTCGGTCGGACCCCCTCTCCCGCACCCACGCACGCACTCGACGTCACCGCGTAAAGGGAAGGCGATTGGCTGGCCACGGAGAGGGTAGGGGAGGTACCACCAACGTTCGGGAGAGGGGAGACAAGGGAGTAGAACTCGAGCGGTGCGTGCGTGGGTGGCTGGGCGGGGCGAGGCGACGTCAGGAGGGCGGGGGGAGGAGGAGAAGCCTAGTCGATGGTAGAATCGGGAGAGGGGGGACACCCAAGGGTCATAGTCCAACCCCGCTTTGCGATAGCGCAGCTTTAGGCCCCGAGGTTGCGTGCGGGTTGCCCAGGAGGTGCGTGAGGAGGTGGAGCTGGGCAGAGGGAGGGTTAGAAGCGCGGTGGCCCACGCTGAGGTCAGAGCCAGGATTTATGTTGCAGGTTGAGGAGCTTTAGTTAAGTATTTTGTATTTATTTATTTACTCGATTTAGGGGAGGCAGCTAAACAAGCTCTATCTTAGGGTCCCACCCTCTTGTGGGGGCCCCCAAATAATTTAAAGGGGGGACTGGATGTACATTTCCAAAATATAAGATAAAAAAGAAATCAAATAAAACCTACATACAGTAACAGTGTTTTGTGTTGTGTAGGCTCCTGTGATGTAAGTAATGGGCCCCGCCTGCTGGCGTCCTCCCTAAAATCTCACTGGTTTGCTCATTTCTATATATAAGGTGCCTACATTCTGCATGGACTGGTTGTAACAATTACTTTGATAAAATACATATTGTGTTATGTGCAAATGGCTTTAGATACCCAGTACGTTTCCGAGCACAATTCAAAGTGTTGGTGCTGACCTTTAAAGCCCTAAAAAGCCTTTGCCGGTATACCTGAAGGAGCGTCTCCATCCCCACCGTTCAGCCCGGACACTGAGATCTAGCACCGAGGGCCTTCTGGCGGTTCCCTCGCTGCGAGAAGTGAGGTTACAGGGAACCAGGCAGAGGGCCTTCTCGGTAGTGGCGCCCACCCTGTGGAACACCCTCCCTTCAGATGTCAAGGAAATAAGCAGCTACCTTATCTTTAAAAGACATCTGAAGGCAGCCCTGTTTAGGGAAGTTTTTAATATTTAATGCTGTATTGTTTTTAACACTCGATTAGGAGCCGTCCAGAGTGGCTGGGGAAACTCAGCCAGATGAGCGGGGTATAAATAATAAATTATTATTATTATTATTAGGTCCATAAGTTACCATATAGCATATATTCAACACAAAAAACAGCGACAATTTGTTTGTTTAATTATAAATTTCTATACCACTTTATATTTTTAATAAAAACTTCAAAGCAGTTTACGGCATATTAAATCAATCAATAAAACAATAGCCGGGCGGTGTTCCTCCGGCCTCATGAGGAATCTCTTTGTAGGGCTGGGTGTTGACAAAGGACAGCTGGACATATAAAGGGCCAAATTACCTTCAGTATCTAAGGTCCTCGTCAAACCTAAATCCAGCCCTGCCCACCCTGGCTACACCCATGCCTCGAGGGATTTTGCAGCAGGGCACTGTAGGAGTTTGATAAATGCAAGTGAATATGGACTGTTGGCTCTGCGTCCTTATAAGTGTGGGTAGGTTGTGTGATGTTCTGGCTGCACCCCTAATAATTATTATTTCTTTATACCCCACCCTTCTGGCTGTGTTTCCCCAGCCACTCTTCACAGCTTACTGGCAGGTGAGGCAAGGTCAAGTCTGCAGAGTCTGTAGGAGCAGCAGATCCACATGTGATTTTTATTCCTCACACCCCCCTTGTTCCTGATACAGATCTTCACCCACCCCTTAGTCCCTGGTGGGGAAGGAGATGCCATTTTGTGGTTCGCCTCATATAGTAAAATGCCCTGCTCACTAGGGAGCAAATTTCAGCGAAGTTCAGACATTTATGGGGGGGGGAGAGAATGGGGTTGGCTCTTACAGCTCAACTCTCCATTAAGGGATTCAGTGTCCCCTAAGTCCTTTATTGGTCAGGGAAAATTGGATGGAGGCAGTGAAAGCAAGGAAAAACTTTTATTTTTCTGTGGCATCAGTGTCTCCCCCCCCCCCACAAAGAGTTAAGGAGCAAGAACAAAGTGTGCAAGAACCTTTAAAGACTTTAGACATCGCCCAAACCCTTAACAAAAGACCACTCAAAAGGCATCATACACAGAAAGAGATGGTCTGCAACAGAAATTTGAGGGTGTGTCTTGTCTCCTGTCTGACAAGATAATGGTCACTGATTGCATTACCTGGCCAGTGTGGCCATCCTTTTGAGATGGTAAATACCTCAGTTCTTGAATCCAGGTCACAGGCTTGCCCTATTCAACACACCCTCAAGACAGGATTTGAACTATTTGTAAATGAAAGGACTATTGGGAAAGGTTTCCCAAATATACTTTATTTGCAGAGGAAACATTTAGAGTTTTTAGGAGAGCCAAGATGGCTTCAGGATTGCTCTCCAGTACTATTTCAGATGTGGTTTATCTACTTACACATGTGTGTTTACCTTGTGCACTTATGAACATATATGTTATTTTTGAGACCTTAGAATTCTTATCATGATACCAGAGGCCTTTCTTCTTGGAATAATAGGTCTGGAATTGCCCAAGAAAGATGTTAGATTGTTTTTGTATGCCACAACTGCAGCTAGAATTTTGTTAGCTAAGAATTGGAAAACACAAGAAGTCCCAACAGTGGAGGAATGGCAGATGAAGATGATGGTCATTTCGGAGCTAGCCGACCTGACTGGAAGAGTCCATGACCAGAAGGAGGAGGAGTACCAGGAGGAATGGATGAAATTCAAAGACTATATAGTTAAATATGTTAAGATAACTTAATTGGAGAAACTTGCAAATACCAGATAGGCTTAGGATTTAAATATATAATGTTAGAGAATAACTTGTTTAAAGTTAAAATGAAAAGAAAGAAAGATGTCAAGTGATTAAGTTAATTTTATGAGAAAATTGGTTTTGGAAAACTGTTACAATGATATACACTGACATTCAGCCAGGGGGATTTGAGGAAGTCATTTAACAATGTTACTAAGATTGGATTAAGTACAATTAAGATATATGTTTGTTTAAAATTTTTGGGAAATCAATAAAAAAAATTGGGGGAAAAAAGAATTCTTATGATACTGAGGCTTACTTCCAAGAAAGGTGGCGCAATGGGGCAGTGCGTCCGGCTGTTAACCAGAAGTTTGGTGGGCAGGATTCCTGTATTGCAGAGGGTTGGAGCAGAGGGTCCTTGGAAATCCTTCCCGCTCTGCAATTCTATGATTCTAAACTGAGGATCAGGCTGCAAAATGGCAGGACTATGCACAGTTATAGAGTAACGGTACAATCCTAACCATTTTTGCTTGGAAGTAGATCCAAGGAAGGGCCGAATGTGATGGGTGTACAGGTTAAATCTTACTCCTTTGCCTGCATGACCAGTTCCTAGAAGGCACCAAAATGGTACAGTTAAAGCAAAATAGGCAGAAGGAAAAATGCAAACTATTAAATGCCGCAATATAATAAAACATTGATCAGAGAAAACAGTGGAGGCAGGATCCAGGGAAAGCAAGGAAGATCTTTATTTTTCTGTTGCAACAGCATCTCCACCCCTTGCAAGGGGGTGAGGACCCAGAACAAAGGAGTGCAAGAACTTTTAACGACTTTAGAAATTGCCCAGCCCCTTAGCCAAAGACCACCCAAGAGGCATCATACACGTGTCACAGAAAGACAACAGAAATTTGAGGGTGTGTCTTGTCTCCTGTCTGACAAGATGCCTGATAATGGTCACCTGGCCAGTGTGGTAATTCTTCTGAGATGTTAAATACCTTAAGTTACTGAATTCAGATCACAGGCATACCCTATTCAAACACAAAATATGCCCTTAAGGCAAGATTTGTAAGTGAAAAGAAATACTGGGAAAAGGTTTCCCCTTCTGCAGAGGAAATATTTGGGGTCATAAGAATCAATAACTGGGGGAGGCAGTGGAAGACAGGAGTGCCTGGCGTGCTCTGGTCCATGGGTGACGAAGAGTCGGACACGACTAAACAACAAGAATCAAGATAGCTTCAGGATTGCTCTCTTGTTATTTCAGATATATGGTTTATATACCTGTGTACTGTATGTGTGTTTTACCTTGTGCACTTAATGATCATTTATTTTTGAGACCTTAGAATTCTTACAATGAATTGATTTTAGAATGCTGTATTATTTTACTGTTGTTAGCCGCTCTGAGCACGGCTTTGGCTGGGGAGGGCGGTATATAAATAAATTTGTTGTTGTTGTTGTTACAGTAACTAAATCTTCTATGTGCCTTACCCACCTTCGCTTCAAACCTATTGCATTGCTGATGCAGGCTGCTCTATATACTGTATAAACATGCAGCCCATCCAATACAGATGGGGGACGGACACCTGTAGTCATTTCAAATCGCATTTTAATAAAATGCTCCTGCGATCAGTATTTATTTATTTATTTTAGCTACGTAAACGATGCACAGAGCGGTCTAGAGACACACCAGAAAATAATGCATGATGCGAGATAAAACGAGCCCAAACCCCGCGAGCCCTGGAGAGGCCAGCGTGAGTTCGGAGGAATGTCCCTTACCCCGCCCGGTAACCAAGCCGGATGCCGGGTCCTCCGTGCCTCTGAGGTTTCTGGGAAATGTAGTTTTTCCATTCAAAGTCGTGGGCAAAGCGGATCCCGGCAATTGCAGGTAATGGGAGTGGGCGTGGAGCGGATGGGAAGTGCGATGGTGGTGGGAAGGGGCGAGCCAGGAGGGTCGGGAGAGGCAGCGGAGAGCTATAAGAGAAAGGGCTGCTGGGGGAGGAAGGGAAAAGAGCAAAAAAGGGAGAGGGAACTTTCGCTTCCCGGTCTAGGTAGCTAAAATGGTTTGCAAGCGCATCCTTTTAATGGAAGCAATGAGGCTCAGCTTTTTTGAAAAGTGCAATCGATTATATGAATGTTTCCTAACATCACCGGCCCAAGACTTTGGGGGAACATGGAGTGGGGGGGAAACCTAGCCATGTTAAGTTTACAACAAATGTAACTCCTGGCGCCCATTAAAGAATATTTTGGGGGCTTGTCGTGGGTTCGCCGCTTTTTCCTACGAATTTTGGGAGTTGTAGTTGTGCCAGGAAGTTAAGGGGGCGCCTATGTAGACCCCTGGCCATTGCTACGTTGCTATTTCCAGCATCCTTTGCAGGAAGCCACCGGGGTTGGACTAGAGTAGTGGCTGCTAAGAGCCCATAACGGACCAGGAAGTCTCTGGCTTCCTTACTCGCTGCTGCTCTCGCTCTGTTGCTTAAGTTTAGGCCAGAGGGAGTGCCGGATTTGCGTATAAGCTAAGCAACCTATAGCTTAGGGCCCCACTCTCTTGCCCCCCCCCAAAAAAAATTTAAAGAAAAAAAACCTGGATGTACATTTCCAAAATATAAGATAAAAAACAAATAAACGGAAACCTACATACAGCAACAGTGTTTTGTGTTGTGTAGCGACCTATTAGGTCCATAAATTACCATATAGCATATATTCAACACAAAAAACAGTGACAATTTGTTGTTGACATAGGACAGCTGGACATATAAAAGGCCCCATTACCTTCAGTAGTGTAGGGCCTCATCAAACCTAAATCCAGCCCTGGCCAGAGGTTTTCAAACTTCTTGAGTCCACGGCTCCTTTGACCAACTACATTCTTTCTGTGTCACACCCTTTGGGGATCAGGAGCCCAGTTATGTCACCCCTTGCCTGCAGACCGGGCAACCCCTCACCCTTTTTCAAACACCCTCTCTTGTGGAGGATTCTCTCAGCCTCCTCTCCTCTCCTTTCCTCCTCTCCTTGGGAGTCCTCTGGGCAACCCCTGATCTCTGAGCTGCCCCCCCTCCACCCCAAAGAGAGGTGCCCCCCAAGGCACCATTCACCTGTGGAGCTTATAGCCAGGGCTGATGCTGGCTATAGGCTCCAGGGCTCCTGAGATCTCCTCCATGTGTAAGTGCATGCCTGGGGAATCATTGAATCTTGACTGTTGTCGCACACTAATACTGCAGAATTCTGTTATGTTTTATCTGCACAATCAGAATAAATTTCAGGAACCAAAATGCTTTTCCTGTGCAGCCTGAACAGGAGCAGTGAACAACGTTATACTTAATTGTTGCAGCTTGTCTTCACTTATCCCACCCCACTGCCCTGCTCACAGTTGTTAATATTCTTATGTCATGAACAGTCCATGTCCCCATTAACAAAAAGAGGTCAGAATAGGCCAATATATATGTATACTGCCCTGGATCAAGTGGCTTTTCTTCTTTTAAGTTCTTAACCTAGCTCAAGTTAGATCTCTGAAATAGCCATATGTTTAACTGAGAATCAATAACAGTCAGTCCATTTGAAAAACAAGACTTCAGAGCCATCTTGCCCCCAAAGGCAAGTAGACATTCCTTTTTGTTTCGTTTTGTCTTTTTTATGATTTTCAGTTTTAATACATTTCAATAATTTTACAGTCATTTTAACATTTCAAAACTCGTCTTCCTTCCTCCTCTTTCTGCGGTTCCTTAAATTTATTTTTTAATATTTTCTGCATATCCAAATTAACTTAATTTGCTCATTTATTCATCTACTTTAAATATATACTCTTATAAAACTGCAGGTTATTACAATAATCCTGCCAATGCTCTTATCTGTTAACAGTAAATAATTGTAAATATTCAATAAACCATTTCCATTCTTTTATACTATACTACTGTATAACCTTGGTTTAAGGAGCCATTTGGTGCCTAGTTTATATACCTGAGTTTCTAACACTGGCTTGGGAATGATGTGTGTTGGGAGTTCAACAACAGCTGGAAGGCCACAGGTCGATTCCTGATCTACAGGAATGTAGATCTGGGGAAGATCTTCAGGTATTTGGAGTGAGGTGTGATCAATATGCTGATGACACCCAACTTCACCACTCCCTCTGAGTCAGGCATGGCAGACTACTAAGCATGTTCGTGGCAATGGGATGGACCCCATTTGCAGCATCAAGACACCAGCTCACCAAGATTTCGCAGTAAGCATTTCCTGTATCCTAACCCGTCTCCCCATCTTTTCCAGCTTCACCACTATGGATGTATTCTACACCTCTGGAATCTGGTTTGCAGAGGTGCTTCAGACCAGCCTGCCTGGGCTGGAGGATTTTTGGCTTTGGATGACCTTCATGGGTGACCCAAAGAGCGTCATCATCATTTATTTCCCCCTCGCTTATTTCCTGCTCGACCGGAAGGTTGGAGTCAAAGTCCTTTGGCTGGGTTTGATCTCAGAATGGCTCAACTTAGTCTCTAAATGGTGAGAGGAGAAAGCAAAGGTCACAAAACAAACGTCTCGGCTTTAATAACCATTGGGACTCGCTCTTGGTCTCAGGAAAAGGTTGGAGAAGCTGCCACCACGCAAGGCCAGTTGTCCATAGGTCTCAGCTGCTCCTGAAAGTGTGCCAGGCCTCAGGAAAAGTTAACGGCATAGTTGCCACCCACTCTTCTGATGTTAGTAGGCTAAAAGCATCCCTCAAAGCAGGGCCTCTTTCTGACACTGTCTCCTGGGCCTCTTTTCAAAACCGCCACTCTACTTAGTAGTGGGCAGCCGCCATTTTAATTTACCACAATCCCCTGAAGCCATGTTATGTCCAGGGCATTGTGGGAAATCAAAATGGCAGCTGCAAATCAGTGCTCTAAAGTCACTTCACCTTAATTGGGGACTTTTGGTTCGTGATCAAGTGTTTTTGTTAATTTCGATTCCTTAACAAAGTTCAGTTCTCTCCGTTTTGAGGATGCTGATTAGGCCTTGGAGCTACAGTGGTACCTCGGGTTACAGATGCTTCAGTTTACAGACTCCACTCACCCAGAAATAGTACCTCGGGTTAAGAACTTTGCTTCAGGATGAGAACAGAAATCGTGCGGCAGTGGCATGGCATGGCAGCAGGGGGAGGCCCCATTAGCTAAAGTGGTTCTCAGGTTAAGAACAGTTTCAGGTTAAGAACAGACCTCCAGAACGAATTAAGTTCTTAACCAGAGGTACCACTGGGGCCTGGGGCCGCAGTGGTGCAAAAACATGGTTACAAAGCATGGATCCACATGGATCCTCAGGATTTTTGCATTGGGCTACTCCAAGCTCACCGTCAGATCACATGTCTGTGGCCACAGCATGAACCACAAAAATCATACATCCACTGTTTCGTTTAGAATATTTTTTTTCTTGTTTTCCTCCTCTAAAAACTACGTGCGTGTTATGGTTGGGTGCGTGTTATAAAGCGAAAAATACGGTAAAGATTACCATGGTACCAGGGTTGGCAGTGCTTGTGCATGTACGTAAAGGGAGATAACATGCAGGAGTTGCTGCCTTCCATTTATTTGTTTAAATAAGCGACATCCCACTTTACAATTTTTAGGGATTTTCCATACTAATTACTAAAATGTTATATAGGTGTGTGTTTTAAAAGCTCACAATGGCCACATCAGCCAGCCTTCTGCAACCTAGGTTCCCACCAGATATTTTGGACTACAACACCCATCAGTCCCACTCAGTGTGACTGGAGGATGGTGAGGCTCATGGGAGCTGCAGTCCGAAACATCTGGAAGGCACAAGGTTGCTGTGGGCTGGAAAAGCAGCTGTTGACAGTAAGAGCAGCAAATAAAATGAAAAGTAAACTTAAAAGCTCCTGGAACTCGGAAAGCATTGAATCCACTTGTCCCTTGTTATCTCTTAATATTTTGTTCTCCCTCTCCGCAGGTTTTTGTTTGGTGAACGGCCTTTCTGGTGGATCTACGAGTCTGGGTTTTCAAAGAAGGAGGAAGTCACCCTCCGCCAGTTCCCTGCAAGCTGTGAAACAGGGCCAGGTCTGTCGCTCGAGAGAAGGTTCAAAACGCCAGTCAATCTGGGCTTTTGTGGTTGAAAAATGATTGGGGCCCTTAATTCCTTTCGTGTGGCGATCGGTTTTGAGAGACAGGCAAGCAGTCTGTCCCACCAACTTAATTCAATACATTATACTGGGGCAGCATCTTTTGATTTGTTCACCTGCTGTCTTGGGGACAAATGAAAAGTTGGATTAGATTCCTCTGCCTGCAATGCAGAAAGCATAGAAAGTTGGTGTGGTTTAGTGGTTAGAGTGTCAGTCTAGGACCTGGGAGACCAGAGTTCAAATCCCCACTCAGGCATGAAGTCAGTTAGCTCTTATCTCTCAGCATAGCCCACCTCACAGGGGTGTTGTGAGGATTAAATAGGGATGGGGAAAGAACTGCCCAGCACACCTTTGTCCATAAGTAACCAGGCCGATGGTGATGGTTCAGCATCGTTGTGTACCTGTTGAGGCCCACGGTCCAACTGTGGCTCATTACTAATCCTTGGAGCTTCTTGGCTCTGTTATTCCTCGCTGTTGCTGCCTATTCACTCACCCTCTCCCAAGTGAGCAATGAGAGGAGCAAAAATGACCTCCCTGTGCCCATGTCCACTTTGGGCGATGGCACCGATTGGATGCCAGAAGGTGAGATCAGCAAATGGGTGGCAACAAAATCAGTGGAGAAGAGGAGAAAGACCCACACAAGGAAGAATGGGGCAGTGAGAACAACTTGCCCAAAGGCCCAAAAGAAACCTTGAAGCCACGCTACTAAGGACCCTCACACATTGCTTGTCTCAGTCATGTGGTAGTGATTCAGAAACTACAACTAACCCAAATTGCAGCTGCCAGATTGGTAACTGGGAGCGGCCACCCGGCCCATGTAACACCAGTTCTAAAAGATCTACATTGGCTCCCGGTAGGTTTCCGAGCACAATTCAAAGTGTTGGTGCTGACTTAATGGCCTAAATGGCCTCAGTCCTGCATACCTGAAGGAGTTTCTCCACCCCCATTATTCAGCCCGGACACTGAGGGCCTTCTGGCAGTTCCCTCACTGTGAGGAGTGAGGTTACAGGAAACCAGGCAGAGGGCCTTCTCAGTGGTGGCACCCGCCCTGTGGAACGCCTTCCCACCAGGTGTCAAGGAAATAAACAACTATCTGACTTTTGGAAGATATCCGAAGGCAGCCCTATTTAGGGAAGTTTTTAATGTTTGCTGTTTCACTGTATTTGATGTTTTCTTTTTGTTTTAAAAATTTATTTATTTGGTTTTTCAAATTAAATTTTTACAGAGATATATCAAACATAAATCATAAAAACAAGATTCCAAGGAATCTCCTGGACTTCCATCCTCCCCTTTGTGGGTCCTATTATTAATCATTTCCTCCCACATCTTTTATGATAATCCAAATCCTTTACTTCTTCCGTTATGTCCAGAATTCAGCCTTCAACTACAAGTGATATTCCAATCCTACTAATGATGTTAATTGCCTACAATGGTCTTTAAGATGAGTTATAAATTTCCCCCCTTCCTTATTAAAAATTTGGTCTTCCTGATTTCTGACTCTTCCGGCCATTTTAGCCATTTCCGCATGTTCCATCAGCCTCATGGTTTGAGGTTTTAATTTGTTGGAAGTCACCCAGAGTGGTGGGGAAACCCAGTCAGATGGGCGGCATATAAACAAACAAAATATAATAATAATGAATGGAACGGGTAACATAGGAAACTGCCTTATGTAATGACAGACGTTGGTCCATCTAGGTAAGTATTGTCTACCCTGGGCAAGGAGAATCTGTGGCCTTCCCAATGTTATTCAACTGTCCAACATCCCTGAATGTTGGACGTATTAGGTGGGGCTGATGGAAGTTGTAGTTCAGAAAACTCTTGAGGACCACAGGTTCCTGACATCTGGACTAGATGAGATCCAAAAGTCCTTCCAGCTCTAAAGTTATATGATATCCTTGGCATTAAATATCACACACCCACCTGGCAAAATGCTGGTACAGCTGTTTTGTGGCTCAGAGGCATGGGGCTTAGGACACATAGGGGCTAGTTGGGGTTCCACAAAATAAATTGCTTTGAAGGCCAGTTGCCTGCTAGCCTATTAGCTTTGCACATCCAAGCAGAAGGCAGGTTTGATTTCTTTCCAAAGCCTCCTTTCAGGCACAGAGTTATTAGCTGTGTAAACATTGGTGAATTCTTCTAGGCTCCTCAGACTCTGTTTATTGGAGCCACCTCAAGAAAAGTCTACTTATCGGCCTCTTTAGCTGGGAAATGTGGCTGAAATAGCGAATCAGTATGGCTTCTGTGGGGGTCTTTATGGTTTTTGGTTTGCTTCCCTGACCATTGGCCATGCTGGCTAGGACTGATGGGAGGTAGAGCTCAACAACATCTGAAGGTCTCACAGAATTGTCATCCCTGATCTATAGATGTCGTAGTGGCATGCAAGCTCCACCCGCTTCCCCGTTTTGATTGAAGAGCAACTGTGTGAAACTGATTAGATTGATAATGAGTTTGCTCAGCCTGTGGGCTTCATGACCAGGCGAGCACTTGAACTCAGGACCCCATCCGTATTGTACATTTGAAGTAGGGTTGCCACCTTTGGTCTGCCAAAATACAGGACAGGGTGAGGGTGGGGTGTCTCTGCTTAGATGTCCACAGGTTCACCATCCCTGCTTTGGAAGAATGGCGAGATGAACATGCCACAACTCAAGAAGCCAAAAAAAGAGCTTAAACAAATAAATAAGAGGTTCTCAAAGGGAGTTTAGTTGGGCCCCGAATGAAGAAAGATTATGTCCTTGCGGTTCGAACAAAGTTGAGTTATTGGCACATTTACAAATAAGAAATAAAAATTCCATGCCCACTTGTTGGACAGGAATAGTTGGCCAGCTCTCTCTCTCTCGGCAAAATGAAATGTTGGCCTGCGGTGGAGAAGATTGAATGCCACATCTGTCAGGAAGATCAAACTCTTGACGTAGAATGGAGCTGCTTGTTTGTGTACTTGGCTAATAAACTTAGAGCTGCTGTGAGGGAGGCAAATAGTTGAGGCCTGACGGTTTCAAGAGGCAGCGCAAACTTTTGAGAAGCCAGCAGGCTGACTGTTCCAGGCTGGTTTTGTTTATTTTTTAATTTTTAAAAAAGGTTTCGGCAAAGGTTTCTGTGGACATCCCATGTTTGCTTTGCTCCATTGTGATGGCCAAGTGCTGCCTGGTTCTGAGGTATCTGTGGACCTTCAGGAATTTGCCTGAGACTTTTCTGAAATCGCCTGGGCTGGTGGTTTTCACTGGAACGCCTCCTGGTAATTCTCTGCTGGCGTTTGATTCGCCCCAGACCAGCTGCCAACAGAGCAAGGGGGAGAACCTCCACATAGACCACCAGGCCTGTATCCAGCCCTCCACCCCACCAAGGCCATGCCTTGGGTTACAGAATTGGCAGGGACCAAAAGGTCGACTCGTCTGTGGTTCGTCTGTTGCAAAGCAGGGCAGTCTCCTAAGCATGCTGATTAAAAGAGAGAAAGAGAGAGGGGGAAAAAACCCTAATCCAATGGTTTTTTTCTGCAGGAAGCCCCTCTGGCCACTGCATGATCACAGGCACGGCTCTGTGGCCAGTGGTGACCGCACTGACCGCACGGATATCGCAGCACTCCAAAAGGTACGTCTTCGTATCTCAGCCACTCACATTCCCAGTCCTCCTTCCCTTTCCCCCTTCCCCTCTTACTTTACAATAGCATTGTATACCTTATTTATTTAGTAATTTATTACATTTGCATTTCGCTTTTCCTCCAAGGAGCTCATGGGTCTTTCCACTTCCCCTCTTTTTCTCCCCCTCACAGCAACCCTGCGAGGCAGGTTAGCCTAGGAGCGACTGGCGGTCCAGTGTTAGTAACATAGATATACAGTGGTACCTCGGGTTACATACGCTTCAGGTTACATATGCTTCAGTTACAGACTCCGCTAACCCAGAAATAGTACCTCGGGTTAAGAACATAGCTTTAGGATGAGAACAGAAATTGTGTTCCGGCGGCGCGGCAGCAGCAGGAAGCCCCATTAGCTAAAGTGGTGCTTCAGGTTAAGAACGGACCTCCGGAACGAATTAAGTACTTAACCCGAGGTATCACTGTATAAAGGACGTGGGTGGCGCTGTGGGTTAAACCACAGAGCCTAGGACTTGCCGATTGGAAGGTCGGCGGTTCGAATCCCTGCGACAGGGTGAGCTCCTGTTGCTCTGTCCCAGCTCCTGCCAACCTAGCAGTTTGAAAGCACATCAAAGTGCAAGTAGATAAATAGGTACCACTCTGGTGGGAAGGTAAACTGTGTTTCCGTGCGCTGCTCCGGTTCACCAGAAGCGGCTTAGTCATGCTGGCCACATGACCTGCAAGCTGTACGCCGGCTCCCTCAGCCAATAAAGCGAGATGAGCGCCGCAACCCCAGAGTCGGCCACGACTGGACCTAATGGTCAGGGGTCCCTTTACCACTGTATAAGCCAGGCGGCCAGATGGCTCCTTAAACCAAGGTTGCAGTCGCCAGAGCAGAATATCTAGTTGCCATTTGGGGGCACAAGACCGATCTAAAGTTTTGTTTTTCAAATGACAGACTGGCTGTGACTGAATCTCAGGTAAACATCCGGAGGTAGTTCAGATGACAACCTTGAGCTAGGTTAAGAGCTTTGAGAACTTAAAAGAAGAAAAGTCCCTTGATCCAGGGACAGTCCACATACCATATTGCCCCGAACATAAGCCGCGCCCAAATATAAGCCGCTCCCTTCTTTGCTCTCTCCCTTCTTGGGGGAGAGGACGGGGGAATATGCACAGGGCGGGCGCCGCTTTGTTGCGCTCCTGGTTCTGTTTGCCCCGCGCTCCTGGCTGCATACTGGATATTTTTTTTATGGTCGCGAATGGGGGGGAAAGTGTGGCTTATATTTGGGCCAATACAGTATATATTGGCCTTTTTTCAACCTCTTTTTCCTAATGGTGACACAGACCATTCATAAGGTAAGAATGTTCTTCACAACTGTGAGCAAGGCAGTGGGGTACGTGAAGACAAGCTACAGCAATTACCATATTTTTCCGTGTACAACACGCCCCCATGTATAAGACGCCCCCTATTTCGGGGGACTCAGACTTAAGAAAGTGGGGGGAGATTGCCTAGAGTTGTGGAGCTTTTTTTTTGGGGGGGGGGAGATTTTGCCGAAAATCACTCACCTGTCTTAACTGCACTATAGCGCACACACCATTAAACCGCCTATCAGCTGTTCCCGCGCGAGCAGAAGCGGCAACGACAGCAAATCCACACCAGCCGCCAATAGCACCACTGACAATCTCAGCCTAGCGGAATCAACCAATCCCACGTAACCAAAAGGCACTGACCATGTATAAAGCCCCCTCCCATTTTTTAACATTCGTTTTGAGGTGGGGGAATCCTTGTCTAATACACTGAAAAATACAGTAACTATATAACATTGCTGCTGGTCAAGCATTTTGGAACCTGAAATTCATTCTGATTGTGCAAATAAAATGTAACGGATAGAAATCTGCAGGATGTGGGTGAAAACTGTCCAGATCCAAGGATCCCCAGGCATGCACCTCGAGATGGCGTTGTCAGGGGCCATCCTGGCATCTCCACTTGGTCGCAAGCGGCTGAAAGTCAGGCGCAAAATGCACCTGGCTCCTAGCTAATTTCGAACACTGGACTGACCCAAGGTCAGCCAGTGAGTGAGTTTCATGTCTCAGTGGGGAATATGATGCCGGACCTCCTCCTAATTTTATACAAGTAAAAAATGGTCCCAAAGGGTTTATGTTCCTACATTTGTTTACATTATCCTTTATAAAATTGCATTTTAACCTGTATTTTACATTGGTTCTCCCCCCTCCCCCATTATGTTTTTACTGTGATTTTATTGGTGTTAGCCACCCTGAGCCTGGCTCTGGCTGGGGAGGATGGGGTATAAGTAAAAGTTATTTATTTATTTATTTTTATTTAATGTTGGTGCATAAAATCAAAACAGGTGCAGTGAATTTTTGAGCTGACATTGGGTGGGCCAGTCAGTGGCATATGCCAAGAGGTAGTCAACTTGGGCCCTCTAGATCAGGCATAGGCAAACTCGGCCCTCCAGATGTTTTGGGACTACAACTCCCTTCATCCCTAGCTAACAGGACCAGTGATCAGGGATGATGGGAATTGTAGTCTTAAAACATCTGAAGGGCTGAATTTGCCTATGCCTGCTCTAGATGTTGTTGGACTACAACTCCCATCGGCCCTAACCTTGAGCTTCCTGCAGGAAAATAAAGGTAAAGAATACATTTGAATAAAAATAAATAAAACCCCACTCTCCTCCCCCTTTTTTTGGCCTCTTACAGCTGGGTCGTGAAGGCTGGGCCCTTTACAGCTTATCTCGTCTTCCTGCTGGCTGTAGGCCTGTCTCGCATCTTCATCCTCGCTCATTTCCCCCACCAAGTCGTTGGCGGCATCTTGACAGGTGGGTACACTGTGGCGGCCGGCGGCCATCTCTGCTGCCTGTGCTTTGATATCCCAGCATCCTTTGCAGAAGGGCCTTGCTTTGTGTCTTCATGAGGACCGTTATCAGTGCTTTATGTCCAGTTTAGAGATGAACGTTCCCCCCGTAGCCAGGCTCAGAAACGAACCACAGAGGCTTGTGGCAAACAATCCTGAATGAGGGAAGAGGTGACCTTGGACAGCTCAGAATTTCTCCTCTGCCTCAGATCCAAAGATTTCCCAGTCGTGATCGCGAAAAGCTTTTTTCCTTCCCTCTTTAATCAGGCCGCTGAAATCAAGAACGCTCAAGGGGCAAACAGGGTTAGGCGTACATGTGCCAAAGGATCTGTGTGTAAACTCCAGTTCTGGTACTGGGGAGGCGGGCAGGAACACAGAGGGACATAGGAGGATGGATGGCGGCTAACAGATTGAGGTTGAATCCTGACAAGACAAAAGTACTGTTTCCGGGGGACAGGGGGCAGGTGGGTATGGAGGATTCCCTGGTCCTGAATGGGGCAACTGTGCCCCGAAGGAGCAGGTGTACAGCCTGGGAGTCATTTTGGACTCACAGCTGTCCATAGAGGTGCAGGTCAGTTCTGTGTCCAGGGCAGCTGTCTTCCAGCTCCATCTGGTACGCAGGCTGAGACCCTACCTGCACGCGGACTGTCTTGCCAAAGTAGTGCAAGAGTAGTGGTTATCTTCCGCTTGGACTACTGCAACGCGCCTCTATGTTGGGCTACCTTTGAAGGTGACCCGGAAACTACAACTAATCCAGAATGCGGCAGCTAGACTGGTGACTGGGAGCGGCCGCCAAGACCATATAACACCGGTCCTGAAAGACCTACATTGGCTCCCAATACGTTTCCGAGCACAATTCAAGTGTTGATGCTGACCTTTAAAGCCCTAAAACGTACCAGTATACCTGAAGGAGTGTCTCCACCCCCATCATTCAGCCTCAACACTGAGGTCCAGCTCTGAGGGCCTTCTGGCAGTTCCCTCATTGCGAGAAGTGAGGTTACAGGGAACCAGACAGAGGGCCTTCTCAGTAGTGGCACCCGCCCTGTGGAACACCCTTCCACTAGATGTCAAGGAAATAAACAACTATCTGACTTTTAGAAGACATCTGAAGGCAGCCCTGTTTAGGGAACCTTTTAATATTTGATGAATTATTGTATTTTAATATTTTGCTGGAAGCCACCCAGAGTGGCTGGGGAAACCCAGCCAGATGGGTGGGGTATAAATAATATAGTAGTAGTAGTAGTAGTAGTAGTAGTAGTAGTATTTCCTCTTAATTCTTCACCTTCCTGAGCCACTCCTTTGCATCTGGCTACCGTCGGGGGTCCTCTGGGTTCTAGTGAAAGCCAAAGTAGATCCTAAAATCTGCCTACTCCTGGCTTAGATATGGAGGGCAATGAGAAGAACCCAGCCATAGAATTGGGGGCTCTATGTTGCATTTTCCCTTTAATCACTTCTCTCCTCTCCCCCCCCCCCCCCCCCCGGTCTCTCACTGCCTGCCAGCGATCATCCTGGGCTGGCTGCTAGAATCCCGCGTCCCGCTAGAGAGGAAACTCAGCTTCTTCATGTGGGCCTCGCTGTCTCTCTTGCTAAGCGGCATCGTGACCTATTGGGCGTTGGTTGCTCTCGGCGTAGATCTCAGCTGGTGAGTTCCTTCAGCCAGGGAGATGCGACACTGGGCTGCAGGGCCATCCACGTGGACTCCTTTTTCCTCAGCGATGGCGGTTGCTGTTTTGTGCCTCCGACTCTACATTCCACACACCTCCTGCGCATGTTAACCTTTCATCTCATTGGCGTTGTGCATGGAGGTGCAATCTGCCTAGCAAAAGGATACCTGCATAGCTAGTGGCGGGTGGATTTTGGGGTCACATAGCTGGTTTTCTAAACACCTCACACTGCTCCGTTTCTCCTGCCTCTTAGAAATACTTTTCCTCAAAACGTCCCAAAATATGGCTATAGTCTCCAAAATGTCAGCTTAGCTTGGCTTCTCAAAATGGAGATGAAGAAAAGCACAACACACCCTCTGATACCAAGTTTCCTGGCTTCAGAAATCTTAGGATATCTCTTAAGTTCTATCCCAGGTGCTGGTTCCCTTACATTAGTGTTACATCCCAAACCTGGTCCGCAACAAAGCTGTTTTTGGACTACAGTTCCCATCAGCCCTGACCACTGGTCCTGCTAGCTAGGAATGATGGGAGTTGTAGTCCCCAAAACTGCAGAATCATAAAACAGAATTGTAGAGTGGTTCTTATCATTTTCAATTACATTTATATAGCGCCCTTTGCCCGAAGATTTCAGGGCGGTTCACAAGATAAAAAATATAGGATAAAAGCACAAAATAAAAGAGTTAAAGCAAAAAACAAAACAATAACCCCTGAAATATACTCGGAGTCGAGAGTGGATTTCATGCTCTTTATTCAGCTCATAGTGGAGGGAGGAATGGAAGTTCCCCCATGATGTCTGCTTTATATACATTATTTACACAATGGGCCCCACGTAATTTGCTAATTCCAGGTTTCACCTGTAGGCCAATCAGGTTGCGGATTCACTTCCACCTGGAGCTGGATCGGGTGGCTCCTGTGGACCAATCAGATTGCTGCATTCTGAATCCTATTGTTCTAGGACCAATCAGACTGCTGCCTTTTGGATCCTATCCAACTCAGTACATAACAACCCCCCCTTCCCACAAACACATTTTAAAGAATATTAAGCTATTCTATGCACTATGCAAAGAAGTTCTTCTTTTTGCCTGCCCCGAATCTTCCAGCGTTCAGGTTCATTAGGTGGCCCAGATCTCCAGTATTATGAGAGAGGCAGAAAGAAAGTTACTGTACTTTTCGCTCTATAGGGCGCACCAGCCCATAGGGCGCACCTAGTTTTTTGGGGGGAAATAAAGGGGGGGGGGAATTAACTCCCGCCGGGCTCCCAAGGCTTGCGGATATCTGCCCAAAGCCCGGGGAGTGCTCCGCTGCGCTCCCCGGGCTCTGGGCTGCAGGCTGCCATCCGCAAGCCTTGGGAGCCCGGCGGGAACTCCCGCCGCGCTCCGAAGGCTTGCGGATACCTTCCAGAAGCCTGCATTCGCTCCATAGGACGCACACACATTTCCCCTTCATTTTTGGAGGGGGAAAAGTGTGTCCTATAGAGCGAAAAATACGGTATTTTCCCTATCCACTTCTGGTATGCCCTGCATAATTTCATTCCCCTCTGCCTGCCTGACCTACTTGTTTCTCTTCCTTGTTCTACTCCCAGGTCCATCGGCCTTGCCACCAAGTGGTGCACGAACCCAGAGTGGATCCGTATGGAGACACGGCCCTTCTCGTCCCTGTGCCGTGACACAGCCACAGCCCTTGGCCTTGGCCTGGCCTTTCAGTCGTCGTACTACACCCAGCTCAAAGGCGAGAGGCCCGGCTGGTCCCAGAGGCTCTGTTGCACCGTGCTGTCCCTCGTGGTCCTGCGGCTGCTGAGCGACGTGGCCCAGCCGCAGAACGTGGCTCTTTGGTACGGGCTGAGTTTTGCGAAGTATGCCATCTTCCCATGGGTGGTGATCGCGCTGCTCCCCAAAGCGTTCCACGCTCTGACCTCCAGCACGGGGCCGTCCCACAGAGAGTAGCCGGCAGGGGAGACATAGGCAAGGAAGCCCACAGCAACCCTTTGCTTTACCCTCAGGGCTCTGTTCCTCTCAGCGTGAGGTAAGATTTTTCCATCAGAGGAGAGATTTCCTCCAGGAGTAAAACGAGTCTGTTCACTCAGGCTGACCTCGTCTATAAAACAGCCTTACCAAAAAACCCACGACCTCCCCTTGAATCCCTTTTTGCCAGGTAGAGAATCCCATTTTTAAAAACAAACCACTGCACACTTTTCTGCTGTTTAATGGGTGTTGAGGCATTTTAACACCCCCAAAGATTTGATGTGACTGCAATAGCCCTTTCTACTACATACCTATGGAAAAAAGTTTCATGGACGACCGTAAGACATAAACATTGGGAGAATCGAACTCCCCGATTTCCCTCAAAGGGGAAACAGGCCACCTCCTCACCCATTGCTTTCCACCTACCGTATTTTTCGCTCTATAAGACGCACCGGACCACAAGACGCACCTAGTTTTTGGAGGAGGAAAACAAGAAAAAAAATATTCTGAATCTCAGAAGCCAGAACAGCAAGAGGGATCGCTGTGCAGTGAAAGCAGCGATCCCTCTTGCTGTTCTGGCTTCTGGGATAGCTGAGCAGCCTGCATTTGCTCCGTAAGATGCACACACATTTCCCCTTACTTTTTAGGAGGGAAAAAGTGAGTCTTATACAGCAAAAAATACGGTAAGTCCCAGTTGCTTAGGAAGCACTGTAGTCGCAATATACTGGCACAGCCTTTAAGGCTGGCTAGCTAAGCCTTTGCCTCCCTTCAGTCGTTGTCGGCACATTACTTAGCCATCATGACTGTACGTGCATTAAGAAAATTAAAGAAACCCGCCAACTTGCTTGAACACAACGGATTAGCACCCCATCTTTCTGTTTTGCAAGCAACAGCCATGGTTTTAAAACAGTGTCGGCAATCGCAAAAAGCCATACCTGCCTGGATTAGGGGGGACTGCCTTGGGATTTTGGGTCCAGCGCACCAGAAAAAGTGACTGGGTAGCATTGCCTAATGCAAGTGCAAAGAACCTGTGGTTCTCTTCCTGTTGCAGGACTACAACTCCCATCATCCATGACCATTGGTTGTGCTGGCTGGGGTTAAATCCAACGTAGGTTTCCCCATCCGTAGTCTTAAGATTTCCTTCCCTGTTTCTTCCAGTTTTTGCCAAAGCTTATCTATCTATCTATCATCTATCTATCTATCTATCTATCTATCTATCTATCTATCCAGTGATTTTTTTCCTGGGGGGACGCATACCCCTAAACATTTTGTGAATCTAAGTTTGGCCTCATTGAGGGGCAGTATTTCAATAGGAGTAGGAAAATGAGAGTACCCGTAGACATTTTTTAAAGAAAAAAAGCACTGTATCTATCTGTCCTGAATATTGGTATCATAATAAAGTTTGCATTCACAGCTTGTCATGTCATTTGCCAGCACATGCTTTTGAGACAGCAAGAAATGGAATCTGAAGGAGTTGCTAGACTTTTTTTTTGTTTTTTAAAAGCACAGGATATAGAAGTCTTTTATTAAAAAGAAAGCTGCTGTTACAAGTAAGCTTTCACAGCATTCAGACTGTGTTTTGCACTGCCCTCCCTCCGCCTCTGGCATATCCACTAGTGAGAACTGCGGAAAAACAGACAGAGCTCACAGCCAAAGAAAACCAGTGGGGATTTATGGGAGTCCTGGGGCAAAATCTCACACGTGTACAAGTTTGGGGGAAGACTGGTGATAAACTAGCAGTGCATCCGCCCTCCAAATGTGGATACTTCTATATAGACAAAATGGCATACGCAGGTGGAAGGTATTGGTAAGGCTAAGCCAGCTCAGTGGGCACAGAATACTGGATGACCGGAAAAAGGTGGTGGGAGAGAGAGGAAGAGGGGGAAGGAAAATGGAATGCGGGGGGGGGGGGGAATCCATGAATGGTTCAAATCCTGAACTGCAGCACTCCCACCTTGCACCCTGTTGTTTCAGGTCCCATTTGTATTCCTGCTTTGTGAACGTTTTGATTTTTTTAAATTCCAAAAGAGTCATAAGGGTAAAGGGACCCCTGACCATTAGGTCCAGTCGCAGCCAACTCTGGGGTTGCGGCGCTCATCTTGCTTTATTGGCCGAGGGAGCTGGCGTACAACTTCCGGGTCATGTGGCCAGCATGACTAAGCCGCTTCTGGCAAACCAGAGCAGCGCACAGAAACGTCGTTTACCTTCCCACCGGAGCGGTACCTATTTATCTACTTGCACTTTGACGTGCTTTCGAACTGCTAGGTTGGCAGGGGCAGGGACCGAGCAACAGGAGCTCACCCCGTCGCGGGGATTCAAACCGCCGACCTTCTGATCGGCAAGTCCTAGGCTCTGTGGTTTAACCCACAGCGCCACCCGCGTCTCTCAAAAGAGGCATAGGTTGTCTCTTTTCTGGTATCCCTAGCAAATCACTATCTCGTTTTTGTCCCCATTGTTGCCTTTGGAAGGCAACCTTAACAAACTATGTTTCCCTGGATTCTTGGGGTATGTGTGTGTCTTGTGGCTTAAATGCACGTTTGTGTACACAAGTTGGCTTTTCTTGTTCTAGAAACGCCTCCTGCCTCAGAGGCGCGTGCAGTTTTTCTTTCTCTCTGCCAACAGCAGAACCAGGGACGATCCAGTGAAGCGAAACGGGTGAGATATTCAGGACAGACATTCACACATTTTAGCCGTTGGGTCCTGCTAGTCTGGGAAGTGGACAGAAGACTCACATAGAAAAAAAAAGCCCAGACAGCTCCTCCACACATCAATTCTACAACGGGATATTGCCAGAAACAATTTTATTTACACAAGGACAAACATTGGAACATATTACAAAATACTCAACTGAAAATTGTATCCAGAGCGAGATAAAACAGAGAGAAAGAGAAAGAGACAGAAAGCAGGAGGGAAAAAGCAGGAAAAATAAAATAAAATTACAGTTATTCCCACTTGTGGGGGCATCTTTCAACAACATGAGAAGGGGGCTGGTTAGAGGATTGGTGTTGTGTTTTTTGACAAAGTCCCTCTTTCCCTCCATGAAAACAGCCCCCTTGGCAACTTAATACTGGTGTGGAATCTTCCACAAAACAGGAGCTGTAACGCACGCACGCACACACACACAAACACACAACTTGTTCCATGCTGTTGTCCTAAAGACTCATGGCTTTTCGAAGGAGTTGCTACTCTTGGCCAGTTCTGACTTCCCACCCTCCTCCCCCTAGAAATAATTTTTAAAAAACCAAGATGAAAAATATGGCTGGTGGATATTTGTCTTCCCACCCACCCTAAAAAAAAGGTGGGAAAAATGTAGACGTGACAAGCCCTACCTGCGAGTTCTGCGGAAAACACACTGCCTGACCTCAGATTTAGCTGAAGTTTCTATTGCTCTGGGTGAACGAGCCGTACAATCCCAACGGTGGGATTTCATTTGATACCTGCATTCACGAAAACCATGAACGTAAAAGCTACGTCGGTGCAGAAACAGGAGTACTGAACACAAAACATGTGCAGTGTGGAAGGGCGGGGAGAATGACAATGCACATGAAAATCCATGGCTCGCCCTCTCCCCTCCAACATGCTGCTGCTGCTTGACATCCACATGTGGAAGCCCCAGTGTGCAAGGCAGAGTTTAGCCATAGGGACAGAAGCAAGCATGCAGCCTTCTGCAGAGCTCTGGGCCTGCACGGCGGTTTTCCACAAGCCCGTTGGTGGACCTGCGAAAAGGAGATGTGGGTCAGGGAACTGCCTGCTAACGAGGACAAAGGAAACGCCTGCATCTCCTTTGCGGGTGGACAGAAAGGACTTGAGCACTCTGGGCGACTGCCTCTCTCTATGACCAGCCACAGACCTGACCACAGCAAACCCCACAGCCCTGATTCATATAAGAGGCTTCCTCATTGTCCCTGCTCTTTATTACACCTCTGCTCCCACTTCATTCTGCACTAGCAGACAGACTGCACTTGGCTTGTGTCAAACCAGTGAGCTACCTTGACGGCACTTCAGCTAAGGACACTCATTGGGTTCAATCAGCAAAGGGGAACTTGCTGTTGGACTTCATCTCCCATCAGCATAGCCAATGGTGAGGGATGATGGGAGTTGTAGTCCAATAGCACCTAGAAGGCTGCAGGTTCCCTGTTGCTGTGTTCAATTCACTGAAGCAGTGTTTCCCAAGCTTGGACTACAATTCCCATGATTCCTGACCACCAGTCCTGCTAGCTAGGGATGATGGGAGTTCTAGTCCAAAAACAGAAGAGTCAAGTTTGGGGAACCCTGCACTAAAAGCCTCACTGATTTCAGTGGGAACTATGTCAAGTCGTGACGAACAACCTCATTGCAACTTAAGTCTGGATTCAGGAGGATGAGGTTTCTCAAACACCATGTTTGAGCATCCTTTAGCTCTTAACAACCAAGACAATATCCTCATCCTGGTCCCATCAGAAAAAGGAAGGCATGTGGGATACTTCAAGGTTCCTATCTGGAGGAGTGGATGAGGAGGAACTCCTCACAAAACAATTTTGATTGGCCAATGACAGCGGCATTCAATATCAGTCATACAAAGGCCGTCTGCCATTGGTCAATACAAATTTTGGGCCATGATTGAGGGCAATCAGGAGCTAGGCCTGGCCTAGTCAACCACTCCTATCTTTGTAGGGCACCAGGCCTCACACCCAGGAACTTAGATCTTAGGTTAACTTCTCTATCCACAACCAGAATTCAAACTTGCAACTGGAGATGGGAGGGCAGGCCAGCAGCATATAAAGTGTATGTGGTTTTATAGCTTCATTCCAAGGCCCCAAGGAAGGCTCCCTCAGGAAACTGACACAGCTCTTTAAAGAAGAGAAATCCTCACTTTCTTCTTACAGTGTCCAAAATAACACCAAGAAAAGTTCCTTGATCCTCCAAAGGGGCATTTATGGGGGTATTTTAAACTGGGAGTGTGATGACATCTATCCAAACAAATCCTTGCATATACACTGATCCGCTCTGCTCGCCCCCCAAAACCATACTTTTGCCACTGATAGCAAGTGGTTCAAAATGTTAACTAGAGGGAAAACAGGCAAGTGCACTTATTCCAGGATTGCAAGGGAGAACACGGCAAGCACCCATCCATCAATCAATCAATCGGCAGTAATTTTGTTTTAACTGCTTTTAATGTTGAAGTTTAAGTTGCTGAAGCTTATCTAAAAGGATGGGCGTTGTTGCTGTTAGTTCCACTGACTGAAAGTTGGAAGAGATCTAGAAGGCTGTCAAGTCTGATCTCCTGCTCAAAGTGGGGGAATCAAGAACCCAAAACTCTTTTGAGGTACAGTGGTACCTTTGTTCTCGAACTCAGTCTGTTCGACTTCCAAAATGTTTGAAAACCAAGGCGCAACTTCCGATTGGCCCTGAAAACAACACCAACAGCCAAAACAGACGTTCAGCTTCCGAAAAACGTTCACAAACCGGAACACTTACTTCTGGGTTTGCGGCGTCCGGGAGTCGATTTGTTCGTCAACTAAGCTGTTCAGGAACCAAGGTACCACTGTATTTGAAGTGCACTTACAATTAACAAAGAAGTTTAATATTCAGCCCAAATTTACCCACTTGTAAGAAGTCCATTAGATCTAGTACTCCCCTTTGGGGGAAGCCAATAACAAGTATTTGCCCTCTTCTGTGTGACAGGCCTTCAGGTATTTGTAGTGTGATATCACAAATATCTATCCATCCATCTATCTACTGTGAAGCTAGTGAAGATGTAGAGTGCAAAACCTTTGTGACAGGAGTGTGCAAATGGGTGCCTTTCGGGAGGCACTGCACCAAATTTCTGCAAGCTACACAATACAGATGCAAAGTCTGTATGGATTTCCCTGCTTCTCCACACAGCAGAAATGACAGCTTAGGCAAGCCATTCAGGGGACTTTGCTGAGCCATCTGCACTGGGGAGGCTGCAAAACCACACACCACATTGTACTTCCCTTTCACATCTACTGGGTGTTGTACATTTGACTAAGCATAAATTAAGGACAGGTGAAGACGTGCGTTACTGGAGCAGCCGAGTCATTACGGAAGCACAATCACTATTGTACACAGATGTGGAAGTCCTTGCACAGAATCGAGTTCACGGCAAACAGTTCTGCCATACTGTGGTGAACAGTGCCGACTGGCTTGTGCCTGGGATGTCACAAACCTTCCTCCGCCCCCATTGCCATAGCTGCTTTTCAGATGCAGTTCTTTTTTTAAAAATAAATACATGAAGCGAGAAACATTTAAACAGTGCTTTTTTCCTATTTAAAAATGTTTAGGGGTACTCTCATTTTGACTCAAGGAAATCACCATTTTATAGTTCAGATCGGGGGAAATAAATACAGTCAATGGACAAAAGTACAAAGATTTAGGCGTCTGCGCCCCCCGCCCCCCGAAAAAAGCACTGCATTTAAAT